CTCAATATGAGAGAGGTTTGATGACATGTTATCACCATTATAAACCTAGAAGGCGTTACAATTCGTGTTACTTGAATAAATTTCTTGTAGTGTTTTAAATCATGGTTTGAATATGTTACTGGTGGTAGAAAAAAGCGTTGTAACTACTGATACCAAACTGTACCCCATCCCTGTTGTGGACTACCCCTTCAAGTTTGGAATATTTCAGTGTGTCAAAGTGTGCATTAATGATTCTAATGGCTTTAGGGAGTAGGCACATGTGTATGCGGGTATACATACATACAGAGACCAGAGGGAGACATCAGGTATTCTGCTCTGTCACTCTACCATATTTCCTGGAGATAGAGTCTCCCACCAAACTGGGAGTTGGGCTGACAGCTAGGAAGTGCCAGTGACCTACTTGCCTCTGTCCCCAACCCTGGAGTTACACCCCCATGCTTGTGACGCCACATCCATGTTTTAATTTTTTTTTTTAATGTGTTGTAGGCGTAGTTGTCTGTGCTTCACACCTGATGCACCATCCCTAGTGGGCAGCAGGTAACTGCTAGGTACATGCCCCCACCTGGGGCGTGGCTGAGATGGGGACCCCTTAAGACCTGAGATGCGTACTTGCTTGCTCTCTCTTGTCTACCTCATGATCCTGGATGCTGGATGTTGGACTGCAGACCAAGTCAGAGTTCTCCAGAGAACCACACTGGACTGTACCTCACCTCTCCTGGATCCCATAACCAACCCCTTTGCTTGCTGTAAGTTGACCCAAAATAAATCTCTTTTGACTATCAGATAAACTACGTGGAACTGCCTCATTAATTTCCACTATAATGTGTGCTCTCTGAGAGCCCATACTTGGGTCTTTGTGCTTCCACAGCATACATTCTTAACCACTGAACCATCTCTACAGCCTTCTAAATACTTCTAACGCTTAGATTGTGTCTTTTCTTTTGCCTTATGGTTGGTACTTCCAAGAAGATCAAATCCCTTATCTGATGAATCCTTCTACAAGATTGTAATGGGTGGAAGAATCTTTGCAACATCATTTAGTTATCAAATCAACTCACTCAAATGTGTTTATAATGGCTAGTTATCATTATGTAACATTACAAGAGGCACCTCACCCCCATCTCTAAATATTGAAATCCTACTTGCCCGTAGAATGGCTTTAGAATGTGATACCTTTGGAAGGTAATTAGGTCATAAAGGCAACGCCTTCGTGATGGCACTAGTGTCTATATAAGAGGAAGAGGATTGGTTCTCACCTTCTCTACCAAGTGGAAGTGCAGAAAGAGCTGGGTCCCCTGTGAATCAGGACTTGGCCATGCCTGTCCCTTGGTCTTGCATTTCTAGGCCCTGGGACTGTGAGAAACAACTTCTAGTAGTTGCAGTTCCGGACTCTGTATTCTATTCGCTTCCTAGAATTGGCTAAGGTACTGAAACGAATGATTCCTACTAGTCAGGCCACTGTCCATTATGTTAAATGGTAATGGAAAAGTCACATAAGACAAGACATTAAATATTTTTACTATACCGCTATCCCCATACTTACCTTGGAGTTAAAAAAATCTAATAGAATAATAGAGGGGAATACAAAGTAGGGCTAAAGAAGCACAGGGGTAAAAGCAATCATACTTTGACGGACCTCACTTAAAAAGAAAAGCGATCATTTGAACATAAAATGTTTGTCTAGCATCATAAATTATGGGGTGTCAGTGTGAGCCCTAAAATAGTTTCATATGGGCTGAGTGAGAAAGAATGTGAACAACAGTAGTAGTAACTGAATGCAAAAACTGAGCTGGGTCAGTTGTATCATCTCAGTATTGAATGGTGCCAACAGAAGATCAAAGCAGGGAATGGAGGGGAGAAATGGGTTTTAATCAAATCCAGAAGAACTGAAAACCAAGGTAGGGAACCAAACTAAGAGATCATTTACCAAGCACGCAGTAAAAGCTTATCAGGTGTTGGTGACCCTAGTAAGCAAAAGCCAGATGTGGCCCCCGTCTCCAGACAGATGCATAATTTTAGGGTAAAAGAGATGTCATGGATGACTGCTCTGGGGGGATGAAATGGCTGCTTTCAAGTTTCTGAAAGCATTTTCTCTTACTTCCTTATCTTGGATCATGGGAGAGTCGATTGATTTTATTAGCTGTGTAACCACAGGAGTGCTAACATGACGTAAAATTCTCTAAATATCTCCCACAGTACTATGAAAGACAATCACACCAGAGTCTAGCTGGACTTTGATCCCTAATGCTTTGTGACTGTAAGATACTTTGTTCTGTATCTGCGAGTCAGCCTTGCATTTACCATTGGTTCTTTGGTAAAACTTTAGAGGAAGGACTTGACTTATCATAAACTTCACGTTCTCTCATTTAATGCTACATCAAAATAATGATTTGATATTTAATGTTTAATCACTGGCAGCAAAACCTACCTTTAAAATATTATGTTGTAAAAGTTCTTGCCGTTTTTTTTTTTTAATAAATCAAACATGCATTTGTATCATCAGGATTTTAATTCAGATTATTTTGTGCAAGAAAGAAGCATATTTGAAATACTTCATCTTTTTAAAAAGAAATTGGCAGTCCTGGCAAAGAAAGAGCCAATATCCTACCAGTGGGAGTGTGATTCTACTTTATGATGCAACTATCACAGGACCCTACCAGATCATGTCTTCTATACTATCCAGACACTCAGAAAAACTAGTTGCCTTGTAGGAGTAAAACAAAACAAAACTCATCTCTTTCAGGATGTAATAAACTAAATTAATGCTAACAACTTCCCCAAGCTCCTAAATAGGTTTGAGTATATAACCATCATTATTTGGGGAATGGGCTTAAAGTTCTTTTCCAAGCCTGGTAAAATCTCTCAACCATGGTTGTTTATTCATTTACTCCATTTAAGTATTTTTACCAAATGGCTCGATTCTCTGTCTACATGAGACAATGAATCAGTCTGGCTATCAGAGACACCCTTGTAGAACATAGTCGTCTGTGACCAGCTACACTGTAGGAATTAGCTCATGAATACTCACGATGATGGAACAGAATAGAAGTTATTTATTCTAAGAATCTAGGAATCTGGTCTATACTACTAATCAATTATTTTTCATATAATTATATATACACCCACAAAAAGCATTTTTCAATACCTACTATGCATAACCCAAGAGCCATTCTGGGTACAAAGAACTTGACAACATACAAAATAGAAAAACAAAAACAAACAAACAAAAAACCCTGCCTTCATAGAACTTACATTAGGAAGTACCTAAAATTACTCAGTATTGGGAAGACAAATGAAAAAATAAATAAATTTAAAAATGGTGAGGTGTGTGTGTGTGTGTGTGTGTGTGTGTGTGTGTGTGTGTGTGTAACATAAACAAAAATCAATGAAGAGGAACAAATTAGAAGACATAGAGTATTGAGTATTTTGAGTTTTTGTTTTGGTTTGGGCAGGGAAGAAGGGATACAATTTTAAAACAGGAAGCTAAAAAAAAGAAGATGAGAGAAAATGACATTTAGGTAACTTGTGAGAGAGATGGGGGAGGGACCAAGTGGACATCTGTAGGAAAAAGTACTTGCCAACAGAGAAGGTCAAGAGTGTGAAGACCCTGGGGTGGGAAGATGCCTGAAGAGATCCTAGATGTACAGAGGTGCTGGTATTCTAGTGTGGCTGAAGGTAAGGGTACAAGTGAAGGTAAAAATCAGAGAGGTAGCGTGGGCCTGATTCTCCAGGGCCACGCGGGTCTTGGGCTTCTAGAATGGAACATTAGGTAGTATACCTATTCACAACTAGTACCCAAAAGTAGAGTGATCCTGCTAAACATCACTTATATGTGTACCATCGAGTCTGAAATTTAAGCTGATGAAATGAACGGGTTATCTGCCAGGTTTCTGGAAGCGTGTTTATTAAAAAGGACAGAAGTAGAAGATCATAGAATGTCAACTCCAGACTGATCCCAAGAGATGAATTCACAAGACAAAGAGTTTAAACACTAGGGACCAGAGAGTAAAAGATGCAGGAAGTAATTTTTTTTTTTTAAGACAGGGAAGGAGATGCAGAGGCTAGCGTGTATGTAAGAATCAGTTAAAAACCTTGAGCTGCCCATCCCCCACAGGGACTGCATAAAGACTGTTCAGGGTTCCATTGAAGCTGGGGCGGGGGTGGGGGGGGTGGGGGGGGTGTTGGTCTCTGGAAGCTGGAATGGCTTGCAAATGCGATACGTTTAAGTAATGGCCCAAATCTGCTACTACAGAATAACTGGACATACCCTATGGGAAGAGAACACCAAAGGCAAATACTGGGAACAGAGAGCAGACCCAACAGTATCCCGGAACAAAATGACAACCAAAAAGATTCCATGAGCCAGCTTGCGTCCCTCCTCCCCGGGGAGGCGCGGGGGAACTTAGACCTCGTGCTGTAGACTTTAGTCCTCGCTTCGTTTTCTGAAATCACTTCATGGTTGACATCATCTGATAAAAGTCTGGAAGGGTGGGCTGCTGCAAAAATACAAACTCTCTCTTCCTCTTCCCCCCTCACCCTCCCCTCCTTGTCTTCCTCTCGGCCCCTCAGGCCTCCTTGGGGGGGGGGGGGAGGAGACAGGCAAAAGCTAGCCGGGGTCTTCCTAGATAATCCTTCTCTATAAGAAAGCTTCTTCACGTTTGGAACTTCTAAGAGGCCTATGCCACTTAGGACAGAAAGAAAGAACTGGGAGAGGTCACAGGTGGGAACATTCAGAGCAGGGAAGCAGTCTCTCTGGCAAGGAAGGGGCTCTAGACTGAGGAGGATAAGGGAAGGGGCATCTCCAAGACTGGTCGCCTGGAAGAGAGACACAGGCCAAGCAGATCAATTCCTGAAGAAGACGGGGTAGCTTGCTCTGGGGCCGGTCCCAGCCCTGGGTGGGACTGGTACAGGGGTTAGTGAAGGCACCGGGTGGAAGAGGTCCCTTAGGGTGGGACTGGTGCCGGGGTTAGTGAAGGCACCGGGTGGAAGAGGTCCCTTACTCTTTAGATTTATCTGATCCGTGAGCAGAGTTGATCCGATGCACTTCCTTCCTTTTAGCTGGTTTGGAGGCCATGCCCGAGGCTCACCCAGGCAGCCTCCTCCAGCAGGGCCCCGCTGAGAGCGCGCCACCAGGCCGCGAGGCTTCTGGGGCTTCCGAGGCTTCCCCGCGCGTCTGCCGTTGCCAGGAGACGAGTTCTGAGAACCGGAAGGCTCCTGCCAGGCCTGCTTGCCGGAGGAGGGCGGGCTCTGAGTGGAGACACAGTTTTAAGACCTTGGCGGGGGGGGGGGGGGGGGGGGGGGGGGACTGTGGTGTGGGCACGCGTTGACAGGCTCAAAGGGCTGCTGAGGGCGTTCCCTGCAGCATGCTATGCCTGGGTCTGCGACTCTGAACCTCAGACACTCAGCTCTTCAACTACAAGAATTCGGATCTTATTGTTGTCGCACCTTGGTGTTCTCTTAGCTGAAGAAAGAGTTCCATCATTAAATACTACTGAGTTTGCCAAAGGCTTAAAAAAAAAAAAAAACCCGGTTGATCTAGAAAGGAATCCATTTGTAGAGACATGGAGATAAACAAGCAGGGTCTTGTCTGGCTAGGTGACCATTAATCCGGTTATGGAATGGAGGGGCGCTGACAATACTGGACAATAGGGAATCTAAGTAAACTCCAGATCTATTAAAGCTCTAGATTTATAAAGCTCAGGCAGTTTGCAGTGATCTCGTCTTGGAGCTGGGTCTCTTTGGCCTTCCATTTGTTAGCAGATGTTAACACCTACTCTGAGGATAAGATGGATGTAAAGTGTTCAGTACAACACGCAAGACTCCTTATGTGCCTTTTGGGAGCAGGCAGATAACATGAACGAATGTGGCCAACCAGCTAAATACGGAGCAGCAGATTCTATACTCAACTAAGAAATGCTTATACTGGAAAGCCACCTCCTCACTGAGACAAAACAATTTTTTCAGCCCCTTGTAACTTCAAGTCAAATTTGACCCATGGCCCTGACAGGGTTTGGAACATATAGGTAGCCTCTCCCATAAACCTGGAAGTCCTAAGCATCTTTACATAATCTTTACATAATTTACAATCCCCTCTGCTCTTGGGGGGAAGAACATGCTGAGTCTATGATTCAGTTGAGAAAGCGACTTCCACAGATCCTATCTTTCAACTCTGACAAATGACTGCCTCGCCCTCTCCATTCGACAGAGCCTGGGTTTTCAGACTATTGCAATCTTAATACTGTTGAGAGCTACATAAATGACAATCAGATAACGACTTCGTTATGTTTTATATATAAAATAAATGCAAAGCTTGAAGTGTTACATTTATTACTGCTGAAGTGCCCTCAAATCCCCCCTTTAAACTGGATCTACAGACAATGGAGGGTCCATAGAGGGCCCTGCTTTGTTTACCAAAGTTCTAGAATTTTCGTAGAATTCTTTTAAGTGAAAGTAGACTAGATGGTGAGAAAACATATCAGTAATGAATTTTAATGAAGTAATAAGGTACATTGCCATAAGTTGGTAGAAATGACCCATGTTTAAAAATAGCACAGCTTTAAGTAGCCAACCACAGGGAAGGGTGAATTTAATTCTGAGAAGGGGCTGTCCCTGACGTCGTCCATGCCTGCAAATGCCAAGACCCTAGGAGAAGAAAGGCTTTACAGATCAAAAGAAATACAAGCCAAACACATTTCACAGATAAAGCACCCCAGACCTAGAGGAGCAAAGTGTTCTGCCAGAAATCACAATGCTGCACAACGCTGGGCTGTGTATGACAGGCATTAAGTCAAGAATGCTGACGTAAGCCAATCATCTCACTACTCCACTTAGAACCTCCTTTCAGATAGATGTTTATCTTTTGTTAGGATAATAAGAGGGAAGTCATGGAATGAGAGGCTCACAAAACAATTCTCAGAACTATCTTGTCCTAAGAAATTCTTAGGCTGGTGTTCCTTCTCCTGTCATTATTATATTGAGAATGCAATGCGTGCAGATGGAATCTCTCTTCTTTATAGAGTTAAATCGCTGAGCAAGCCACATAAGTAGCATGTGTGTTTCTCTAAAGTTTACAGCGACATGTTTGATAGGACATAAAAGGAGACTTGGTCTTATGGATCTGCCTTCAAAGTGAATCCATGTGCTATAATTATGAGAGATGTCACTTTGGAATAATAATTAAAATAGCAGTTTTGACTTGCTGCATGTCTACTACATTGGGAAAGGATACAGGCTCCTTTAGAGACCACCCTGAATTTAAATCCTGGCTCTTGTTCACTCAACGCTTGTAACTTCCATTTTCTTTATTTGTAAAACAGGGAAGAATGATACCACAAATGTACTTGACATGTCATAAGCACTCAGAGGAGGGTAATAATATTACCCCACAAGTAAAGAAGCTGCAGGGCAGAGGGGAAATGGAACAGAGAGTAGGTAGCTGAACAAAGCAGGCTATACCTCAGCCTGAGCTGTCCACACCCTCAGGCTACCCAACTGGTCACATTTCATGATCCAGGTGGTTGCCTTGAGTTTCAGTTTAGGGAATTACAAATTTGCTTTCTACCTTTAGAGACTGGGAAAGAAGAGAATGGTATTATTATTGCTATTATTAGTAGTATTGTTTTAATTATTATTATTACTATTATTATTATCACCACCATTTTTATTAAGTATGTAGCCATGCCCCCAATAAGACTTGCTCTACAGGGAAGAGAGATTTGACTTAGGGCAGCAGTAACTCATAGGGAAGTGGTTAGAAAGACACACTTCCTTCTATCACAGAAACAGAGCAAACCTCTGGGGATCTGCCGAAATGTGCAAACAAGCTTCGGTATAGCCTATCTCCCTACCATCAGCAGCCCTGGATAACCAGAACAGAGGAAGAGGAAGAGGAGAGGACTTGGTGTGTGTGTATGTGTGTCAGGGGGGTAATTTCTACCTCTTACCATCCTCGATTCAGGTGCCCTCTAATGCTCAAATCCACAGGGAATCACACAGAATATAACTTTCCTTCATAGTGCCGGTTCATAAGCAACCTGCTCCCTTCCTCTTTCAATTAAAAGGAATTTGTAGCCTTTTTTTTAGTAATTGTTTTTGCTACCCCAGAAATCGAAAAAAACCAAGGCCTTGGCCATGCTAAGCAAATGTGAATTCCAAAGAGCTACATCACCACCCTTCAATTGAGTGAACTGAGAGTGTTTGAAAATGGTTTTATAAATTACAATTTTCATTTGGCCATTTCTCCTAGTGCTCAGCCTCCACAAATGCAATGGATGATTTGGGTTCTGTGTGTAAAGTCAGGTGCCACAAAATGTTAATAGTGGATAAACTTTAGCTCTAGCATTAGTGATGTTTGGAATGAAATTCTGAATATAGATTAATTTAAACAAGGGAACAAGGAAAGAAGCTATTAATCCCTAGTTAGGTAGGGTCCTGTATCTCTTTAATCCCAGCCTTCAGGAAGCAGAGGCATCTTCAGGAAGCAGGGATTTCTGTGAGTTTGAAGATAGCATGGACTGTATAGTGAGGTTAAGGACAGTCAGGACTACTTAGTTGGGACCCTGTCTCCAAACAACAATAATAATATAAACATTAGTTCCTCCTAACAGACCCCATACATAATACTTAAAAAGACCATAGTATTTTCAACAACAGCATCACAGAAAAAAATCTGAAGAACATTAATATAATCAAAATATATTCAGTACCCCGAAATGTAAAATTCACAATTACTGAGAGCCAATAAAAACCAGTAGGCAGGAAGACAAATTCCATTAAGAAAAAGAAAAAGTTGATTCAAAATGAATAAAATAATATGGATGATAAAATTAGCAGACAGAACATTACAACAGTTATCGTTATTGAAACCCATATGTGCAAAGAAGCCAGAAGATTGGATATGCTAACTTCAATTTAGGAACATCTGGAAAAAAATACAATGTCTATATTGCAAAATACACTGAATTGGATTGATGGCAGACCAGTATTACAGGAAAATGGATTACCTCATTTGAAGACACAGAAATAGAAGCTATCCAAAATTAAAGAGAGAGGAAAGCGCTGTTGAAAAGGTAGATAAAGTCTCAGGGTAGTGTAACAACACTAGATGGCACAATATTGGTGTAGTTAGAACACCCGAATGGGCAGGGACATGGTGGAGGCTGAGGGGCTGAGTACAGAAAAAAGGTTATATGAAAAGATAATAGTTGAAAATTTTTGAATTTTATAAAAGTTATAAACCTACAAATCCAAAAAGTTAAGTGAACCCTATGCTTAATGAACAGTAAAAACTCCATAACCAGGTTTGTCTTAGAATTTCCATTGCTGCGACAAAACACCATGACCAGAAAAGCAAGTTGGGGAGGAAAGGGTTTATTTGACTTACACTTCCACATTGCTGTTCATCACTGAAGGAAGTCAGGACAAGGACTCAAACAGGGCAGGATCCTGGAGGCAGGAGCTGATGCAGAGGCCATGGAGGGGAGCTGCTTACTGGCTTGCTTCTCCTGGCTTGCTCAGCCTGCTTTCTTATAGAACCCAGGGATGGCACCACTTGCCATGGGCTGGGCCCTCTCCCGTTGATCACTAAATGAGAAAATGCCTTACAGCTGGATCTCATGGAGGCATTTCCTCAACTGAGGCTCCTTCCTCTCTGGTGACTCTAGCTTGTGTCAAGTTGACACACAAAACCAGCCAGTACAGGGTTCATTATGACCTATTTAGTAAAAAAGACCTACAGTTTGAGAGAGATCTCAAAATGAGCCAGGTGGGAAGCTGGCGAATAGTTAAGAAAGGTTATGGCTCATTTGGGATTACAATGTGACTGGTAAGCTTGAACCTCCGGTAAATAGGACAAAGTATTAGTGGACAGTGTCTACCAAGGGTCATAATGTCTCAGACCCATGAATATTCCCGGACCTGGGAATTATAAAGGCTAAGAAGCTTGGTAGGTGTTGCCGTTCTAAGAACATGCTTATAACAGTTGTTTTAACGTTCTTATCTTTTAAACCAACCACCTGTATTCCTTTTGTGTTAATTTCTGTTCATTGGTTTGTTTTTCCTCTTAATGCTATATATTTTGCACTTTATTTTCTGTTTTTATTAATTAGCTATAACACATGTATTTTATCTTGTTTTGTGTGTACATCAACTAACTATAAATATTAATACTTCTTACTTTAACTGTGTTTATCTGTAGGTCTT